ATCTATGTTAGTTTTAACTCAAATTTCAAAAAATTAACTCATACATAATAAAATGGATACCTTTATCATTTCATAACAAAAAAATTGAAAAATATATAAATTCAGGAAAACTTGGTTTATTAGGCAAATCGGGCCTTGCATAGTAGGCCAAATACTGCGTTCTGGCTACTAGGTACAACATATGTGTGTATATATATATATATATATATATATATATATATATATATATATATATATATATATATATATATATATATATATATGTCGTACCTAGTAGCCAGAACTCACTTCTCAGCCTACTATTCAAGGCCCGATTTGCCTAATAAGCCAAGTTTTCCTGAATTAATATATTTACTAAATTTTTTTTCTTATGAAATGATAAAGCAACCCTTTTCTCTATGTATGAGGTCAACTTTTTTTATTGGAGTTAAAATTAACGTAGATATATGACCGAACCTAACCAACCCTACCTAACCTAACCTAACCTATATTTATAGGTAAGGTTAGGTTAGGTAGCCAAAAAAAGCTAGGTTAGGTTAGGTTAGGTAGGTTAGGTAGACGAAAAAACATTAATTCATGAAAACTTGGCTTATTTGGCAAATCGGGCCTTGAATAGTAGGCTGAGAAGTGCGTTCTGGCTATTAGGTACGACATATATATATATATATATATATATATATATATATATATATATATATATATATATATATATATATATATATATATATATATATATATATATATATATATGTGTGTGTGTGTGTGTGTGTACTCACCTAATTGTACTCACCTAATTGTGCTTGCGGGGGTTGAGCTCTGGCTCTTTGGTCCCGCCTCTCAACCGTCAATCAACTGGTGTACAGATTCCTGAGCCTATTGGGCTCTATCATATCTACATTTGAAACTGTGTATGGAGTCAGCCTCCACCACATCACTTCCTAATGCATTCCATTTACTAACTACTCTGACACTGAAAAAGTTCTTTCTAACGTCTCTGTGGCTCATTTGGGTACTCAGCTTCCACCTGTGTCCCCTTGTTCGCGTCCCACCAGTGTTGAATAGTTCATCCTTGTTTACCCGGTCGATTCCCCTGAGGATTTTGTAGGTTGTGATCATGTCCCCCCTTACTCTTCTGTCTTCCAGTGTCGTGAGGTGCATTTCCCGCAGCCTTTCCTCATAACTCATGCCTCTTAGTTCTGGGACTAGTCTAGTAGCATACCTTTGGACTTTTTCCAGCTTCGTCTTGTGCTTGACAAGGTACGGGCTCCATGCTGGGGCCGCATACTCCAGGATTGGTCTTACATATGTGGTGTACAAGATTCTGAATGATTCCTTACACAGGTTCCTGAACGCCGTTCTGATGTTAGCCAGCCTCGCATATGCCGCAGACGTTATTCTCTTTATGTGGGCTTCAGGAGACAGGTTTGGTGTGATATCAACTCCTAGATCTTTCTCTCTGTCTGTTTCATTAAGTACTTCATCTCCTATTCTGTATCCTGTGCCTGGCCTCCTGTTTCCACTGCCTAGTTTCATTACTTTGCATTTACTCGGGTTGAACTTCAACAGCCATTTGTTGGACCATTCACTCAGTCTATCCAGGTCATCTTGTAGCCTCCTACTATCATCCTCTGTTTCAATCCTCCTCATAATTTTTGCATCGTCGGCAAACATTGAGAGGAACGAATCTATACCCTCTGGGAGATCATTTACATATACCAGAAACAGTATAGGTCCAAGGACTGACCCCTGCGGGACTCCACTTGTGACGTCTCGCCAATCTGAGGCCTCACCCCTCACACAGACTCGTTGTCTCCTGTTGCTTAGGTATTCCTCTATCCACCGGAGTACCTTCCCTCTCACTCCAGCCTGCATCTCATCCATGTGTGTGTGTGTGTGTGTGTGTGTGTGTGTGTGTGTGTGTGTGTGTGTGTGTGTGTGTGTGTGTGTGTGTGTGTGTGTGTGTGTGTGTGTGTGTGTGTGTGTTTATCAAAAGGTAGAGTCCAGAGGCTTCGGGATAGCCTCAATAGACTTTGCAGGGTAACGGGTGGGGGCTACGTAACTGTCATAGGATAGTCATAGTCGACCCCTTTGTGCCTTATAAAAGGAGTTGGCTCCCATGGCACTGATGAAAGGTGGGTGGCAACCTTGGAATTTATATATACTAGGGACCCTAGTCTGCAGAATGGAGGGCGAGATAGTGGTCAGTGGAAGGGTCCACTAGAAAAACAGAAGCGCACTGACATCGTATCAGGCTTGGATACTGTTTCCCATAATTACAGGTGTATGGAAAGTAGGCTTACAGGTTCCAGTACAAGAAAGGAAATGTCAGCACTGTGAAGAAATGCCAGACACATCACTGGAACATTATCTAGCACAGTACAGAGTTATAAACCAAATATAAGACTTCAGTTGAGATTTAACAGCGCATAAGTATTTGTTAAAAATATTGGCCATAACCTTACTGAAGCCAATATAAGAGTCATAAATACTCATATACGAGCAAAGTAACAAAGAAACTGGAATCAAGTAGCGTTTAGTGGGCCAGCCAGAGGCTTATGGCCCGTGACGGAATATCGCTGCAAACAAAAACAAAAAACATAAATGTTAGGCTTGCACAGGCTTTTTGTTGCCAGATGAATATGATGGGAAACTGACCTGACCAAGAATGTGACGAGCTCCTTCCTCATTCCTCTGAGATTGATCAGATTATGCCTTGCATGGCGTAATCAGATCAAACTTGACCTAACTTGACTAAGAACTTGTTGAGTTCCCACGGATGAGAAGAGAGTTTCTAGGCGGAAAGTTTGCGTGTGCATTTACGACTAGCAACTGACAGTCAGCCAATCGCGCGAAGGCATAAACATAAGACTTACAACGTCACAAGAACAGCCCGTATAGACGGGTTATCCAGGGCCGAGTTTTTTGTCCCCTTCTGTTGGAATTGCTGCGTTGTTGCTTGTGAGTGGGGCTCACCTGGCGGCCGGGTTTTGGTGAGGTGGTTCCCGCCTCCTCAGGCGCTTCAGACGCTTCAGACCTGACTTACCAACCTGTTCTGTTGGAACGCTTCACTGACGCGCCACCGACACACCTCCACCCACACACTACAGCACCACCACCATCATCACAACCACCACACCGCCACCACTGTCACCTCCACCACGTCCACCACCACCACCACCAACACTCTACCACTACTACCATCTCCTCCCCTCTCTACCAACACCACACCTCCCACCACAACCACTACCACCACCTGTACAGGTGGTCAGCAAATGGAATGCACTGAAAGAAGTGTTGGAAGTTAGTTCATTTATTATGCACCCCATACCCATCTTGTGGGCGGTAGTGGAAAGGGTTACAGAGGCACATAATGGGTTCAGGGACTGAACCCCACAATTCATTTAGCTAAGCAAGTTACAATCTTGATGAGCTAGTTACAAAATTCAATGCGCATCGTCACATCATCAATGAGTTCGGGATCGATCACAAGAACAGTTTCTAAATTAAGCAACTGACATATGTGGAGAGCTAGTGTCACAATTGATATGTTTGTCCTGCACACCGCCCCCCATCCAGTGAGCAGCGGTGGATAGGTTACAATCACTTAGTTACTACCTACAGTCAGCAAACTGGGGATATTTGGCTAAAATTTCAGGTAGCAGATCATATTGAATGAAATATTTACACATATTTGGAAAATTGCTTATAGAATTGTCTCTGAATTCACGTATCTTTTCGCACTCCATCACAGAGTGACGGAGGGTGCGGATAATTTTGTTGACACAGTTTACATTTGGTCAGGTGTAGACCTGACCAAATTATCAGCAGATAATGAGAATTTCCAGAGATACTTGTAACAGAGTCTAAGCCGAGCAGTAGTAATATCTAGACGTCTGCTGATTGTATTGAATGATCCATAGATGTGTGGCTCCTCTTGCATGATAGTATGATGATAGATGGAATTACTGGTGTCGCTTTCACTTTGCCTCAGATCTACAAGATCTACAAGATCTGTAAAATCCACCTCCATCCACAATTTCACGGCCAAACTCATCTAAGAACGTGAATGTTAAGTATAAAAAAAATACCATCAAAGCTAGAAGGCTTGGCATAATTAACTATACCAACTCCAGATAGCCGCTTTATTTACTGTTTGTGGCCTTAGGATCGAGCTGTTAGCTCTTGGACCCCGCCTTTCTTATCGTCAGGACTAATGAGCTGACTCCCGACCTATGGTTCTCTTATCATATCTGTGTCTATAAAAGATAATGTCTGTCTGTTCGAGGTTAGAGACAATGGTCTCACCAAACTTTTCAGAGTGATTCTTCGGTTGTTCAGGATGGCCATAGGCGGGTCGGGGTCAACCCCCAAGCCCCCGGTTTTGCAGGAAATAACAATTGATACCAATTTCCAATCTCCCTAAATACGAGACTCCATCATCGCTGCTATTCTTCCAGCACATTGTTTTCAACGTGGCAATTAAATGTTAATTTGCCTTAAGTAGTTCAATTAATGATGAAGACATTGTGTAGTAAAAATGGTCTACTCCTACTCATCGTACTCATGAGTAGATGTTGGTGTGTGAAAGTGTAAGTGGACATGTTTTATGTGTGTGTCTGTGTGTGGATCCTTCACTCTGCGTGTGTATGTATATGTGTTTTGTATACACACGTGTGGGAGTACGTGAGGTCACTCAATGCCGTGTGAGGCAGGTGTGGTGATGTCACCCTCACCTTCATCTCCCTGGAGAAGGTCGACAAGCTGAAGGTGACTCTGCCGACTTGCATATTTCAAGGGGAAGGTTACCATTGGCAACCACACAACCAGCCTGCAATTTCACTCTAATTGGTTCCCAATTCGATGGTTTTTTCTGGATTCTCATTTATCCTGGAAGTGGCCAAGACAACCCAAGCCATAATCAAGAAAAGATGTACAGGTTTCGTACGCAGGCCCTTTCTAGGCTCTTAAACACTAATGTCAGTCTTTCCTCCCTTCCCCAGGAGCTCCTGCGACGCCTGTTCTCGCTGTGGGACGTCCGAGGCGACGGGGTTCTGCCGCAGGAGGAGTGGGTCGACCACCTCAAGTGTTCCACCAGGTAGGTATCCTCTTCAGGAGGCATGGGGACATGATTAGACAGTGGACAGGGTGTGGGGACATGATTAGACAGTGGGGCAGGGTGTGGGGACATGATTAGACAGTGGGCAGGGTGTGGGGGCATGATTAGACAGTGGACAGGGTGTGGGGACATGATTAGACAGTGGGGCAGGGTGTGGGGACATGATTAGACAGTGGACAGGGTGTGGGGACATGATTAGACAGTGGGGCAGGGTGTGGGGACATGATTAGACAGTGGGCAGGGTGTGGGGGCATGATTAGACAGTGGGCAGGGTGAGGGGACATGATTAGACAGTGGGCAGGGTGTGGGGACATGATTAGACATTGCACCTGGGTGTGGGGACAGGATTAGACAGTGGGCAGGGTGTGGGGACATGATTAGACATTGGAACAGGGTGTGGGGACATGATTAGACAGTGGGCAGGGTGTGGGGACATGATTAGACAGTGAGGCAGGGTGAGGGGACATGATTAGACAGTGGGCAGGGTGTGGGGACATGATTAAACAGTGAGGCAGGGTGAGGGGACATGATTAGACAGTGGGCAGGGTGTGGGGACATGATTAGACAGTGAGGCAGGGTGTGGGGATATGATTAGACAGTGGGCAGGGTGTGGGGGCATGATTAGACAGTGAGGCAGGGTGTGGGGACATGATTAGACAGTGGAGCAGGGTGAGGGGGCATGATTAGACAGTGGGCAGGGTGTGGGGACATGATTAGACAGTGGGCAGGGTGTGGGGGCATGATTAGACAGTGGGGCAGGGTGTGGGGACATGATTAGACAGTGGGCAGGGTGTGGGGACATGATTACACAGTGAGGCAGGGTGTGGGGACATGACTAGACAGTGAGGCAGGGTGAGGGGACATGATTAGACAGTGAGGCAGGGTGTAGGGACATGATTAGACAGTGAGGCAGGGTGTGGGGGCATGATTAGACAGTGGGCAGGGTGTGGGGACATGATTAGACAGTGAGGCAGGGTGAGGGGACATGATTAGACAGTGGGCAGGGTGTGGGGACTTGATTAGACATTGGAGCAGGGTGTGGGGACATGATTAGACAGTGGGCAGGGTGTGGGGACATGATTAGACAGTGGGCAGGGTGTGGGGACATGATTAGACAGTGGTCAGGGTGTGGGGACATGATTAGACAGTGGGCAGGGTGTGGGGACATGATTAGACAGTGAGGCAGGGTGTGGGGGCATGATTAGACAGTGGGCAGGGTGTGGGGACATGATTAGACAGTGAGGCAGGGTGTGGGGACATGATTAGACAGTGGAGCAGGGTGAGGGGGCATGATTAGACAGTGAGGCAGGTTGTGGGGGCATGATTAGACAGTGGGCAGGGTGTGGGGGCATGATTAGACAGTGAGGCAGGGTGTGGGGGCATGATTAAACAGTGAGGCAGGGTGAGGGGACATGATTAGACAGTGGGCAGGGTGTGGGGACATGATTAGACAGTGGTCAGGGTGTGGGGACATGATTAGACAGTGGGCAGGGTGTGGGGACATGATTAGACAGTGAGGCAGGGTGAGGGGACATGATTAGACAGTGGGCAGGGTGTGGGGACATGATTAGACAGTGAGGCAGGGTGTGGGGACATGATTAGACAGTGGAGCAGGGTGAGGGGGCATGATTAGACAGTGAGGCAGGTTGTGGGGGCATGATTAGACAGTGGGCAGGGTGTGGGGGCATGATTAGACAGTGAGGCAGGGTGTGGGGGCATGATTAGACAGTGAGGCAGGGTGTGGGGACATGATTAGACAGTGGGTAGGGTGTGGGGGACATGATTAGACAGTGGGCAGGGTGTAGGGACATGATTAGACAGTGGGTAGGGTGAGGGAACATGATTAGACAGTGGGGCAGGGTGAGGGGGACATGATTAGACAGTGAGGCAGGGTGTGGGGACATGATTAGACAGTGAGGAAGGGTGAGGGGACATGATTAGACAGTGAGGCAGGGTGTAGGGACATGATTAGACAGTGGGGCAGGGTGAGGGGACATGATTAGACAGTGAGGCAGGGGTGTGGGGACATGACTAGACATTGGGCAGGGTGTGGGGACATGATTAGACAGTGAGGCAGGGTGAGGGGACATGATTAGACAGTGGGCAGGGTGTGGGGACATGATTAGACAGTGAGGCAGGGTGAGGGGACATGATTAGACAGTGAGGCAGGGTGTGGGGACATGATTAGACAGTGAGGCAGGGTGAGGGGACATGATTAGACAGTGAGGCAGGGTGAGGGGACATGATTAGACAGTGAGGCAGGGTGTAGGGACATGATTAGACAGTGAGGCAGGGTGTAGGGACATGATTAGACAGTGGGGCAGGGTGTGGGGACATGATTAGACAGTGAGGCAGGGTGTGGGGACATGATTAGACAGTGAGGTAGGGTGAGGGGACATGATTAGACAGTGTGGCAGGGTGAGGGAACATGATTAGACAGTGGGGCAGGGTGTGGGGGCATGATTAGACAGTGGGCAGGGTGTGGGGGCATGATTAGACAGTGGGTAGGGTGAGGGAACATGATTAGACAGTGGGGCAGGGTGTGGGGGCATGATTAGACAGTGGGGCAGGGTGTGGGGACATGATTAGACAGTGGGTAGGGTGAGGGAACATGATTAGAGAGTGGGGCAGGGTGTGGGGGCATGATTAGACAGTGGGCAGGGTGTGGGGACATGATTAGACAGTGAGGCAGGGTGTGGGGACATGATTAGACAGTGAGGTAGGGTGAGGGGACATGATTAGACAGTGTGGCAGGGTGTGGGGACGTGATTAGACAGTGAGGCAGGGTGTGGAGACATGATTAGACAGTGAGGTAGGGTGAGGGAACATGATTAGACAGTGGACAGGGTGTGGGGACACTATACTGACAGATGATTGGTCAGTATAGACTACTGTGGTGATCATAATAACCCCCAAGAGGTTGATGGGCTCTAAACCCAATAGCAAAACAACTAGCCACTCTTCAGGGCTGGAACACAACCACTGTGGAAATAATCAAAACAAACACGACACATATTAAATCAACACCAAAACATCTGAAAACTTCTCTATCATCGCCCCCTCCCCCATATACCCCCTTAACCAGCGTTCAGGAAACGCAGTCAATCACTCTCTTAAATGATAGTTCGTTCGCCAGCCACAACAAGGTCCCGGGTGCCCTGGAATATTTACCCCCTTCCCTCCCCTGTGTTTTCTGATGCCCCGAACCCCGACTCCACTGAGCATTCCTTTTGTTTTGGTGGCGGGGGGAGTGGACGCTGGGGCCAGGCTCTCGGAAAATGTGTTTTTGTGGTCCATTTTGAAAGCCTTTTGGGACAAAGTGAGGCGAGGAGGAGGTTAATGAGCTGGACACTCGCTGGCTAACTAGCCGTACGCTACTGTGGACGGCGAGTATTACAGCCAAGCTAACCGGACTATCATCGTTCAGTCAGTTCACTTATGATCACGTTTCTACGGGCGGCTCTGAACTAGTGTCAGATAGGGACGAGTGATGCTACTGTCGCTGGAAGACGTAAATTCATGTGTACGAATATGAGCATAAAAGTGAAACCTAGGAACGAATTTAGGAAGTTTCAAGAGCACGATCTACGCGGGTTGAGGGCTCGGGTATCGAGAGGTTAAGCTCTGGGGTGATGAACGCGGAGGAATCTCTGAGTTGTAGAAAGAAATTTTCCGGCGAGACAGCAAGACTCGCCATGGGGAGGTTGTTTCGTGGCTGGGTGAAGACGTTCCTCGACCGCTTCTATGGAGAACGTTTCTGGTCTGAAGATTATTTTGATGATTTCAAGGATGAGTAAGTTCCTCTTCTTTGTTTTTGTTTTTAATGTATAATATGATTTTTTGAGTTCATGATTGGATAGGTTCTGCAGTCGGCAGGTCTTTTAGGTGTTCTAATTTCTAAAATAGGTTAATTTCTTTTCTTTTTTTTATATATTCTCGCGGCCCGTCCACAGGCTAGGCTCGTTCAAGTGGCGGCCGACACAAAAGACGCATTCATCAATTTTATCGTAGAATTTTACATTGAGAATCTGCATCTTTTCATATATAAACTTATTTTATTTCTTGGACTAGATTTTGTTGAATAAATAGGCCTAGCTCGGGTTAGGGGTTTAGGTTGTGTTGACATTTATTTACAGTCACAGTAATTAGGTGAAGCATTTAGAGGTCTGGTTCGAAGAACTATTTAGAAAATGCTGGACGTAGTGAGTCACGTGAGCCAGAGGTAACCCGTCCTCGTCAACAAAGGCCAAATGCTTGTTAATCCAGCCACCAAAACCCCTGTTTATGTATAACACGCTAGGCTCGTTACAGCGGCGGCTGTCCCCACAAGACGCATTCATTAATTTACCACTATTAAAAATTGATGTGTTCTCATATATGTTATTATATATGTGTATATTTAGGCACAGGTTAGGTTAGGTGTTTAGGTTCTGTTGGCGATTATTTGTGTTTTGAAGTACGCGGGTGAAGCATTTACAGCGTTGTTTCGAACAGAGGACGTCAGCGAAGCACTGTTCGAGGAATGATCGAACGTTTGAATTGAGTCGTGTTTAAATCATTTTTAATTCATAAACAAGGGGTTTGGCGGCTGGATTAACGAACTTGGATCTTTGTATGCGAGGATAGGCTGAGCATTTGGCCTTTGTTGATAAGGACGAGCTGATGAAAAAAGATTAACACATGACTCGACCTCTGCTCGAATCTTAGCTCTGTACTTAAAATACAAATAATCGCCGCCAGAACCTAAACACCTAACCAAACCTACGTTTAACTATACTTAAAAATTTAATATATAATAATATTAACTTATATATGAGAACAAACCAATTTTTAATACTATTAAGTGATGAATGCGACTTGGGGGGGGGGAGGGGGACGTAAGCTGCTGTAACGACCCTGGCTTGAGGACAGGTTGTCAAATCGCACTGTTAAATGCGTTACACAAGTGCCACAAACATGAATAGATGCCAAAAGAACCTAACCTAACCTAACCTAACCTAACCTAACCTACACCTAACTGTCCGCTAAATTCTAATGTATAATACTAGATGTAACCGGCGGAGCCCAGGTCTATCCGGTGCCCAGATCTTGCTAGATCTTGCTCACACACCTTCCTAATCATGCTTGAATTTACCTAAAGGCCACTATATCTCTAGTGGCTTCGACGAGGACAGGAAGCCAGGGGCTTGTCAAAGATCTCTATTTGTCCTCATGATTTTATCCAGCTGGATTTTAATTTTCGGCGGAATTTTGGCAGTTACGGCTGCGGCGGGTAGGCAGTTCCGTGGGTTTATAACCCTGTGGGTGAAAAAGCATCTGTTTTCTGTCCTTCATTGTGGCTTGTTCAGCGTGAAACCGTTGCTCCTTGTTTGTGTTACATCTGACCTTTTGAAGAAGTTGTCAGGATCACAGGGTATCATATTGTAGCAATAAATCTCTGTGTTAGACCTAGTTCTTATGTATTTTATTGCTGTGTGCCACACTTTGTTAAAAGATTTGTATATATTTCTGAGCACTGTTATATTGCTTATTTTTCGTCTGAGTATTGGCTATATGTTCATAGATCAGGGCTATAGCTGTATGGACTGCTATGTAAATTCTAAATTCTAAACCCATGTTGTCTGGTGAACTTCTGTTCCTCTTTCAGGTACTTCACATGTCTATGGCTGATTATTTTTTTTGTATATTTTGCCTGGAACCTTGAGAAGGGAAATTAGTGTGTAATTTTCTGTTGAGTTGGGAGGTTTTACCCGGTTTAGGAATAAATTGAATAGTGTCATTTTTTTAAGTATGTGGGGAATAGTCCGGATGCAAGAGCTGCATTAATATTCGTGTATATTGGTGGATTTCAGTCATCAGAAAATTAGATAGGCGCTTTCTTGGGGGGGGTCATTAGGCCTTCTGCAGTTACATTTATTCTTATGTTCTTATTTAAGATAACAAAAAAGTTCATCATAATAGACAATTTCAGTTTTCGTAGAATAAACTGGATTGAGAAAACAGATAATTCCGATGCAGAGAATTTCATGGTCATCTACAATTGCCTCAATCCTACAACTAGCCTAATTTATGAAGCAACACGCAACAGCAAATGTTCCTGATTTGTGCCTAGTCAACAAAACACGCAATTGACGATGACAAAGTAGGGAAAATTTGTTGGGGAATATCAGCCATAACGAAATTTACACTTAAAGCATTAGATGACTTGAAAGAGAGGGGGAAAGTACCGTCAGCTCCCATAATTCCATGGAGCAGATTATACAGAGTTGGGAGAGGACTTAATTGTGATTGAGCAACCTCAGCCCGTGATCAGACTCCGATATCTTAACAAAATAACAGTTGCAACACGATATATATATATATATTAAATCGTATGATATATCATGTGGGAAGATTTCAGCCTTCTGGAGAATGAATATATCTTTACAATGTGAAATTTAGATCTAGTTCCTTATGTGGGAAGCCTCTGTCCTGTGAAGCAGTGAAGATGAGTGAGCATCATCACTGTCCTCTGCAGCGGTGACTGACCAACACTGTCCTGTGTAGCAGTGAACATGAGTAGAACTCTCTCCTCTTGACTGTGAATGGGAACCGCATCGTCACCATGATAAAGCAAATTACAATATTTTTCAATAAAGATGGATGACTCGGCGATTAAAGTTTTTATTGTACAATTATTACATGGGACACACACAGGTGAGGTCTAGAGAAGACCAGTAGGGGGGGCGAGAAAAAAGAATAATAATCATAGTAATAAGGAAAGCTGAGAGAGAGAGAGAGAATCTAGAGATTAGGGAGCTTGAGGCAACAACTGGCTTACCATAGACATTTCCCGCTATGCCCACAACACTTATGGGAGAGACTTGTGTAAATCTCCTACACGTCACGTCAGTTGGCTTCATTTTCAAGAAGTTGACAATATTGTAAATACATTTATTTAATTTAAGCGAAAGTATAGAAAACTAATTTTATAGCTAGATGAGTTTCATTTATTTATTATGCACTCCGTCAGACCTATTTTTTTTTCAAAAATTACTGAAAAGCTCTGCCTCTTTAGTCCCGCCTCTCAACTGTCAATCAACTGATGTACAAATTCCTGAGCCTATTGGGATCTATCATATTTACATTTGAAACTGTGTATGGAGTCAGCCTCCACCACATCACTGCCTAATGCATTCCATTTGTCAACTACTCCAGCACTAAAAAAAAATTATAATGTCTCTATGGCTCATTTGGACACTCAATTTTCACCTGTGACCTCTAGTGCGTGTCTTTTGTGTTAGTCTCTCTATCTACCCTATCAATTCCTTTGAGAATTTTATATGTGGTGATCATGTCCCGCTTAACTCTTGTCTTCCAGTGAGGTGAAGTTTAATTCCCGTAGTCTCTCCTCGTAGCTCATACACTTCAATTCGGGTACTAGTCTGGTGGTAAACCTTTGAACATTCTCCAGTTAAATCTTATGCTTGACTAGATATGGACACCATGCTGGAGCTGCATACTCCAGGATTGGTCTGACATATGTGGTATACAAAGTTCTGAATGATTCCTTACACAAGTTTTTAAAGACCGTTCTCATGTTGGCCAACCTGGCATATGCCGCTGATGTTATCCTCTTGATATCTGTATGTGACCTTAGAGGGAGGCTGGACAGGAAAATTGAACATGGACTTAGTAATTATATATCATCCACACAAGCTGAACTGCAGGCCATTCTGGCTGGTTTGGAGGCAGTATGTCAAGCTGAAAAGATGTGTTTATATTTGTCGATAGCCGAGGAGCACTTGATTCCTTAAACAGTCGATTTTTTCATGTCCATAGTTGAGGATTATAAGAAAGGGAAAAATGAGATACAGCTGAAAGGTCACAAAGTGAAATTTATGTGGAATTCATCACATGTTGGACTAGTGCTCAACGAGGTGGCGGATGACTTGGCCAAACACGCCCCCATCAACACCACAAGTTGACATTGAATGTGTTTTCACAATGAGACAAATAAGAAGCAAAAATAGAACTATTCAGGCACAGTCAGAAGTGGCGAGGAGAGGTATAATGTATGAGGGAAGCCAACCCAGGCAACACTACATGTATGTGAGTAAAAAAAACACCAACATTTCAATTATGGTAAAAGGAGAAATGCTTGAAGTGACTCTGTACACATGCGGCTTAGGCTACGGTACAAATATTACTGTTCATGATAATGACACCAAGTGTAAATTATGTGGTATATTAAGGTCTCACACTATCACCCATTATGTTCTTGATTGCCCGTTGATTAATGTATACAGAACCACTGAGATAAAGACTGTTCCTGAACAAATAACCTGGATGTGTCACAACGGAAAGTTTGGTGATATTCTTCAGATATATGAATTTTGCACCAAGATTGTAACCTTTTGTTGAATTGTCTCAATGCCTATTGCAAATTGTCTATATACCTAGTCATACAAGTATTTGTGTGTACGTTTGGTAACATACTGCATGTGTAAGGGAAGAAATGTATATGTTCATCACTCAGAATGTTTGGTAATGTTTATTGTTTGAGATGTGTGTTTATATAGATATATGAACGCGTTGTACTGAACGGGGGTGAGAAGAGCTTGAGCATTTGTGTGTATTTTTACCTCAATAAACTTATTTGAATTTCAATTTGAATACAGAGAGGTGGGCGCCAGGGAGTGGGCGGAGCTGCTGGAGGTGTTGGCGTACGTGGTGTGTGGCGAGGACGGCGAAGTCACTGAGGACCTCTTCACCACCATCCTCACCTCCAGGGGGGTAAGTTCTGTCCTGCCAGGGGGGGGGGGTAAGTTATGGCCTGCCAGAAGAGGGGGGAAAAGTTCTGGCCTGCAAGAAGAGGGGGATAAGTTGTGGCCTGCCAGAAGAGGGGGGATAAGTTGTGGCCTGCCAGAGGAAATGGGGATAAGTTCTGGCCTGCCAGAGGAAATGGGGATAAGTTCTGGCCTGCCAGAGGAGGGGGGATAAGTTCTGGCCTGCCAGAGGAGGGGGGATAAGTTCTGGCCTGCCAGAGGAGGGGGGATAAGTTCTGGCCTGCCAGAGGAGGGGGGATAAGTTCTGGCCTGCCAGAGGAAATGGGGATAAATTCTGGCCTGCCAGAGGAGGGGGGATAAGTTCTGGCCTGCCAGAGGAGGGGGGATAAGTTCTGGCCTGCCAGAGGAGGGGGGGATAAGTTCTGGCCTGCCAGAGGAGGGGGGGATAAGTTCTGGCCTGCCAGAGGAGGGGGGGATAAGTTCTGGCCTGCCAGAGGAGGGGGGGATAAGTTCTGGCCTGCCAGAGGAGGGGGGGATAAGTTCTGGCCTGCCAGAAGAGGGGGGATAAGTTGTGGCCTGCCAGAGGAGGGGGGATAAGTTCTGGCCTGCCAGAAGAGGGGGGGATAAGTTCTGGCCTGCCAGAGGAAGTGGGGATAAGTATTGAACTGCCAGAGGAGGGGGGGATAAGTTCTGGCCTGCCAGAAGAGGGGGATAAGTTCTGGCCTGCCAGAAGAGGGGGGATAAGTTGTGGCCTGCCAGAAGAGGGGGGGATAAGTTGTGGCCTGCCAGAGGAGGGGGGATAAGTTCTGGCCTGCCAGAAGAGGGGGGGATAAGTTCTGGCCTGCCAGAGGAAGTGGGGATAAGTATTGAACTGCCAGAGGAGGGGGGGATAAGTTCTGGCCTGCCAGAAGAGGGGGATAAGTTCTGGCCTGCCAGAAGAGGGGGGATAAGTTGTGGCCTGCCAGAGGAGGGGGGGATAAGTTCTGGCCTGCCAGAAGAGGGGGGGATAAGTTCTGGCCTGCCAGAGGAAGTGGGGATAAGTATTGAACTGCCAGAGGAGGGGGGGATAAGTTCTGGCCTGCCAGAAGAGGGGGGATAAGTTCTGGCCTGCCAGAGGAGGGGGGGATAAGTTCTGGCCTGCCAGAGGAGGGGGGATAAGTTCTGGCCTGCCACAGGGGTTGGGGGAGGCGGTAAGTTCTGAGCTGGTAGACTTTATTAATTGTGGGGAATTCTTAAGATAAAATAATTATACGATTTATTGTATTAAGGTGAGGGAGGGGATGTGTAATTATCATTAACTCTTTATATTCTTATTTTTGCGTGGCGTCCGTCCGTACAGGTGTTGGAGAAGCTCTTCCGTCTGATCAACAAGGAGGGAGATGGGCTGGTGAGTCGCCAGGACATCATGGACTTCATAGCTAACCTCACCTATGCCCGGTAAGTACCCACCCCCTTACTCACCTGTTATTACTCTATTCTTACTCACCAGTCTCGGTTATTACACGTCCTCCTCCACCTTCACCGTCTTAGCACAAGGGCCAAGGGGACCTCCCTACCACTAAATGGGCCCCCACATCGCCGTGAGAGGGCCCTCCCCCTACACAAGTGTCCCACAGTGTGGTGAATTCGTTCTGGCAGCAGGTTTGTAGGGCCCAGAACACAGCTGTGGTTTAAAAGCCTGTGTTAGCCCTCCATCACACACCATCTGGTCACCACTTGGTCCGGGAGACATCTCCCGTCACGCAGGGTGCAGTCGCGCCTCCACAGATCTCCAGTATCAGCTCTTGATACTGGTAATGGCTCAAAAGGGCCACCACTTACGGGCTATTCATGCCCGTGCCACCTCTTGGGTGGCTTAATCTTCATCAATCAATCAATCTCCATCACAGCAACTTGGGGCACTCTGTCCTCTACCCCAGTGACAACCTTGACAAAACTGTACTCCTTTAGAGTAGGTTTACGCATTTAATTTAGTTAAATGCATAAGCCTTACCTCGGGAGAGACAATACGTAGCCTTTACCGGTTTCTCGGTAACTTGGAGAAGAGTGTCTTTATCTTCCTTTAGTCATTTTATGCTCGTATTAATATCTTGGATGACGTCTAAACATTTTACTGTTTTGCGCCACAGATGGTGGTATATAGTCCTCCAGGCTTGGTGCTTTCTTCTGGTTGTTCGTAGACATGATGGAAACAAATGAGCCTTTCCCAAGATCGTGCACCCGCTACACGTGCCCAATCTCCTCTTCCTCTTCTGGCCCACGGTCCTGGGGCACTGTCCACGGTCCTGGGGCACGGTCCACGGTCCTGGGGCACGGTCCACGGTCCTGGGGCACGGTCCACGGTCCTGGGGGCACGGTCCACGGTCCTGGGGGCACGGTCCACGGTCCTGGGGCACTGTCCACGGTCCTGGGGCACTGTCCATGGTCCTGGGGGCACGGTCCACGGTCCTGGGACACGGTCCACGGTCTTGGAACACCTCCAAGCACCCAACCCACAGACGCCTTCAAATCTATACTCCACTAACCTGCATTATTGAACCCTTTACTCCACAGTCCGCGGACGGGCTTCACGAGGGAGAACCTCGAGTGGTTGGAGCAGCTTTTCCGCCAGGCCCTGGGGCACAAACAAGAACTCTCCTTCGATGACTTCAAGAAGATCGTCCACTCTCGCAACGTGAGTACCGGGGGGGGGGGGGGCGAGTGAAACTAGTAGTACTGGTAGTAGCTGTAGTACTTTTACTAGTAGTAATAGTTAAGGTAATATAGTACTAGTAGTTGTATATTTAGATTTTCACATTTTATAAATATAAATCTCTATATTTAGATTTCGTATTTGGCCTAGGATACGATTATGTACATACTAGAAATATGTACATAAATTATGGCGCGGTGACAATTAGTCGTGTCTGAACAAAACTGCTAATTTGCAATACATCTGCAAGGAGTTGGTAGCACTAGCAGCAGCTGTAATGGCTGACAGGTTAGGTTACGTATTTTGGTTCTGATGGCGATTATATACATATAACACTGCGCACTTGAGGCAATTGTTTCTTAATGTTATTTTGTCTGTTCTGTTGTTCTTTATTGTTCTGCTTTCACTTCTTCTATAATGTTATTTGTTTTATTCTCAGTTGTTCTTTAGTGTTGTGTTCTTAGTTGTGCTTTCATGTTATATTATTTACCGAGTTCTTTTGCTACATATTATTTCTGGCTTGGCACTTTCTTTTAAAAATTACTTACGTATTCCGTTCACAATTGTTCTTAATGCCATTTTTACCGATTTCATTTCTTTAATGCTATTCGTTATGTTCTTAGTTGTTCTTTAATGCAATTTTTGTCTGTTTACAATTGTTCTTCAGCGCTATTGGTTCCGTTCTCAGTACATATCTTATATATGTGCAGAAAAAATTTTTAGTCACCCCTTGCCGTTCTTTGCCGGTTTCTGGTGCTGTATTCACCTAGTTGTGCTTGTGAGGGTTGAGCTCCGCTCGCCTCTCAACTGTCAATCAATCAACTGTTTCTAACTACTGTGGTCTGTCCTACACAGTCGTTCTTCGCCGAGCGGGTCTTCCAGATCTTCGACCGTGACAACAGCGGCACGGTGTCGCTCGCAGAGTTCCTGGACGCCATGCATCAGTTCGCGGGAAAGTCCCCCAACGACAAGATTAAGTTCCTCTTCAGAGTCTATGATCTTGATGGTAAGTTAAGAGCAGATAAACTCTTTTGAAGAAACAAGTTCAGGTTAGAGTTCCTCTTTAAGAGTCATTGTTCACTCACTCATTAGGCTATTTTTGTTTGTATTAATAATGTTGCCTTAGTGCGTGATGGATTTTGAAGATCATGCACTCTAAGGCATCTTGGTTCACTGCGTGCAGGCGACGGGCTGATCCAGCAGAGCGAGCTGCAGAAGGTGATGAAGGCGTGCATGGAGGAAAATGGGATGAAGTTTAGCGACGAGCAGATCGAGGACCTGACGCTGGCAATGTTCGAAGACGCCGACACCCAGAACACGGGAGCCATCACCTACGAGTCCCTCAAGGCTCAGCTGGAGAAGCACGACGGGCTCCTTGAGAACCTCTCCATCAGGTGCGTCCTGGTTAGGTTAAAGTCTATGGTTGTTGGGAGGCCAACACCGACCTTCCTTATTATCCGACACATACCCTCCACACACTTACCCGCCTTCTTTTCCCCACAGCATCGACCGGTGGCTGGTGCCCCCAGACCTGGGCACTAACAAGGAGACCTTCTCGCAGAAGCTGGCCAAGCTGAAGCCCTACCAGCTCTCAATTCCTTACGCCAAGAACAACTACGTCTACCTCACCTTCCTCTTTATATACCTTGCCATCAACGTGTGCCTCTTCGCCACGCGAGCCTACGAGTATTGGAACAACAACACCTACACCATATTAGCCAGGGCGTGTGGTAAGGGTCTTGTTCTCCTCGACTGGTAATTATGTAGTTCAAAGAGGCAATGTTGATGAGATTTACGTGTGTGTGTGGATTGATAGGCGTTTTTTTTTGTAATTGGTTGATGACTTTATTAGGGGAACTAAAGTTTATTTCACTAGAGTTTGGACTTGCATATAAAGATTAAATGATAAAATGCATGAAATCCTTGCATTGTATCTGTATTTCGCTTCTAGTCGATAAATGATATACAGTACGAGACTAATTAATAAGCTGTGTAATGTGAAGGCTAATAAACATTAGTCTGAAGACTAATAAACATCGAGGCCGATGCATAGAACAAGTCGTATCTTTACCGTACATCCAGCACTCGCACAATGTAAAACCTTGTGGTTACATGTAATGATAATCATTATTTAGGGAAAAGTACATGCATATAAAATGAATTGCAAGCAGTGTTGGATTTCTAGATAGAGCTAGAGCTAGAGCTATGCCTAAAGTCACTAATACGCATTGTGCGCATAATGGGTTATCTTGAGATGATTTCGGGGCCTTAGTGTCCCCGCGGCCCGGTCCTCGACCAGGCCTCCACCCCACAGGAAGCAGCCCGTGACACCTGACTAACTCCCAGGTACCTATTTACTGCTAGATAATAGAACAGGGTAGTTGGGTAGGGTGGGTAGGTCGATTCCGTTACAAAAAATAAATACGACGTATTAGCTCTGGGACAACTCCGTTTCCACAGCTGTTGCTAAACTCACTCACTCACTCCCTCCTTCCCTCCCCGACCCTCAGGTCAGTGTCTCAACTTCAACTGCATGTTCATCTTGGTGTTCGTGCTGCGTCAGTCCATCACCTACCTTCGCTCCGTGGGTGCCATCAGCTTCCTGCCTCTGGACCAGCACCTCTACCTCCACAAGTTGTGTGGCTGGCTCATCTTCATCTACTCCGTCGTCCACACCGTCATGCATCTCATCAACTTCTGTGAGTGCTTCCTGGAGTGGGGGGGGAGGAGGGGGAGGTGTATGGTCAGTTGGTACACGCAGGTGTTTGTACGTAGCTTGACTGTTGCTTGTTAACATTGTATATATATATCTCGTTATATTAAGAGCAGGTTATGGTTAGCCTAGCCTAGGTTGTAGGTCATAGTTGGTTAGGTTGGGTTAGATGGGGTGGGTTAGCTTAGGTTAAAATTGGTAGGATTGGGTAGGTTAAAGTTTTTTTGTTTAATACATTCAAAAATCATTTTGTGATCCATCTTTTGTATGAAAAGACCTGTATTTCTTCTGGAGGCGTGAGCTGCCATCTTATCTAGCCAGGGGACCTTATTAGTGTGTGTGAGAGAATGAAGACAGCTTCTGGCACCAAATGCCAGAAGCTGTAGCTAATATGTGTTCCCTTCTTTCAAAAACTAGTCTGCTGTGGATTTGCTTCGGCGTTCCATCGTTTTTTTTTCTCTACGTGGTGATCTGAGTTATTGCGGTAATCTAAACGCAAGCCATCTTGGCGGAAGTGTTTACTGATGTCATCAAAAAGAGAGACGTACACACACAAACATTTTGGGCACTTCATTCAGCCCTCTTTATGACCGCTGGAAAGATGGTTGGTGTTTGTAAGCAGCACTGGAGAATTCCTCATATCCTCGACTCTCAGACTTGGTTCTCTTGAGGACCTGAGCCTCGATCCTTGTCATTTACCTACAGTTTTTGCCACATCTGAATGTCCACAATTTTATCTTTCTGGCAGTAGATGTTGTCTCCTATTTTTAAGACGTTGTGCATATCGACTCTTGTTACTGACTCGGTATATGCTCGCCACCGACTCGCCATATACTCGCCACATCCTTGCCACTGACTCGTCACATCCTTGCCACTGACTCGCCACTGACTCGTCACATCCTTGCCACTGACTCGTCACATCCTTGCCACTGACTCGTCACATCCTTGCCACTGACTCGTCACATCCTTGCCACTGACTCGTCACATCCTTGCCACTGACTCGTCACATCCTTGCCACTGACTCGTCACATCCTTGCCACTGACTCGCCACTTCCTTGCCACTGACTCGCCACATCCTTGCCACTGACTCGCCACTTCCTTGCCACTGACTCACCACATCCTTGCCACTGACTCGCCACATCCTTGCCACTGACTCGCCACATCCTTGTCACTGACTCGCCACATCCTTGCCACTGACTCGCCACATCCTTGCCACTGACTCGCCACATCCTTGCCACTGACTCGCCACATCCTTGCCACTGACTCGCCACATCCTTGCCACTGACTCGCCACATCCTTGCCACTGACTCGTCACATCCTTGCCACTGACTCGCCACTTCCTTGCCACTGACTCGCCACTTCCTTGCCACTGACTCGCCACATCCTTGCCACTGACTCGCCACTTCCTTGCCACTGACTCGCCACATCCTTGCCACTGACTCGCCACATCCTTGCCACTGACTCGCCACATCCTTGTCACTGACTCGCCACATCCTTGCCACTGACTCGCCACATCCTTGCCACTGACTCGCCACATCCTTGCCACTGACTCGCCACATCCTTGCCACTGACTCGCCACATCCTTGCCACTGACTCGCCACATCCTTGCCACTGACTCGCCACATCCTTGCCACTGACTCGCCACATCCTTGCCACTGACTCGCCACATCCTTGCCACTGACTCGCCACATCCTTGCCACTGACTCGCCACATCCTTGCCACTGACTCGCCACATCCTTGCCACTGACTCGCCACATCCTTGCCACTGACTCGCCACATCCTTGCCACTGACTCGCCACATCCTTGCCACTGACTCGCCACATCCTTGCCACTGACTCGCCACATCCTTGCCACTGACTCGCCACATCCTTGCCACTGACTCGCCACATCCTTGCCACTGACTCGCCACATCCTTGCCACTGACTCGCCACATCCTTGCCACTGACTCGCCACATCCTTGCCACTGACTCGCCACATCCTTGCCACTGACTCGCCACTGACTCGCCACTGACTCGCCACTGACTCGCCACTGACTCGCCACTGACTCGCCACATGCTCGCCACTGACTCGCCACATGCTCGCCACTGACTCGCCACATGCTCGCCACATGCTCGCCACATGCTCGCCACATGCTCGCCACATGCTCGCCACTGACTCGCCACATGCTCGCCACTGACTCGCCACATGCTCGCCACTGACTCGCCACATGCTCGCCACTGACTCGCCACATGCTCACCACTGACTCGCCACATGCTCACCACTGACTCGCCACATGCTCGCCATATACTCGCCACTAACTCGCCATATCCTTGCTTCACAGCCACAGTTGTAATTTATCTCACCGATGAGGGCCAACCAAACGCTAAAAATTTTACACTGACGGAGTGGATCTTCACGATGAAGCCCGGACTCTTCGGCCTTGTCAAGGGCATAGCCAACCCGACGGGCGTGGCGCTCATGATCATCCTCACAGTCATGGTCATCTGCTCCCTCCCCTTCGTCAGGAAATCTGGGTACTTTGAGGTAAGATTTATTTTAAGTCGCATTTGGAATGTCCGACAACTCGGGCTGGACGGTAGAGCGACGGTCTCGCTTCATGCAGGTCGGCGTTCAATCCCCTGACTGTCCAAGTGGTTGGGCACCATTCCTCTTCCCCCCCCCCTCCACCCCCGCCCACCCCCCTTTTCCCATCCCAAATCTTGAGGTATGAGGTAATCAAACCTCCCCCCCCCCTCATCCTGGGGGTAATTATGAGGATAAAATTCTAAGTCAATATAATTATATAGCACTTGGATGGGATACGAGGTTGGAGTGAAGGAACCCAACAGTTCGCTTCGTCGGGGATCGAACTCTGACCAGCAAGGTCGTCGCTATACTGGGGCTCAAATGCCAGAACATTTGAACAGATTTTAACAAATGAACAGAATAGTGTTGAGAGTGTTGCTCAATATTGGGATCTATGTTGTATCTGCAGCCTACACACCTGCTGCAGGTGTGTACGGTGGAGGGGACACACCAGCTGCAGGTGTGTACGGTGGAGGGGACACACCAGCTGCAGGTGTGTACGGTGGAGGGGACACACCAGCTGCAGGTGTGTACGGTGGAGGGGACACACCAGCTGCAGGTGTGTACGGTGGAGGGGACACACCAGCTGCAGGTGTGTACGGTGGAGGGGACACCAGCTGCAGGTGTGTAGGCTCGAGGGGACACA